GCATTTTAAGATGTCGAACTTTGCTGATCTTACCAGGATCGTTACACCTGGGCATGACAGAGTAACAGATAATAATGAACGAAATGAAGAAGGGGGAAGTAATTTATCAATGCATCTGAGAAGAAGCATGGACAAAGCTGACAGCACCAATGCTAAAGGACTAGACTAGGAGTGGACAATGAAGAGCCACTGGAGCTAATCCAGTTACGTGAGCTGGGAGTTATGCCCGGTCGAGTACGTATATATCGCCTTCGAGGTCAAGAGAGGAGCCATTATAACCGTCTTATTTTTTCCCCTAGAAATTAAAGTGCTGATACGCACCACAATATGTTTTAAAAAGGTGATGGCATCATCACAAAGTGTCTATTACAGTAGCGCTGAAAAAAAAAAAAAAAATTATACAAAAAAAAAAAAAAGGTTACCGGTATTGCGGACCGAAAAAAAAAATATTTGCTGATTATTATAACTTTATGGAACAGTCTAGAGTAGTGGCTCTCAACCTTCCTAATACAGTTACTCATGTTGTGGGGACTCCCAACCATACAATTATTTTCGTTGCTACTTTATAATTTTAGTGAATATGTTTTTCCGATGACATTTGGCGACACCCTATGAAAGGGTCATTCGACCCACAAAAGGGTAGCGACCCACAGGTTGAGAACTGCTGCAGTAGGGGTACCTCTGGATGTCTGAGCACGTCCGGCTGTAAAAAAATCTGGAGCTGGCCATGGTCTGAGATACGCTCATATTATACAATCTTTACGTCCTTTTTAGGACGAAATTTTTGTTATTTGAAGCCCCACCCTGGCTTTTGCTAGGGGCCGCAATATAGGCAGGCCATAAATATGGCCAAGTGTCTGAACGCGGTTTCTGGGACCTCTCCAAGGCAGTCCTCATCCGCATTGTGGCACTTAGTGTCATCAAGCGTTTATCGCTTGTGTGCTGTCCTAGTGGGGTAGAAAGTCAGTCAGTCAGTGGTCTGATACATCGACGGACAGGGTGCGCTTGGGAATCCCCTATGTGTAATGACGTCGATTGTGATAACTGTGTTTCTAACAGAATGCGATTAAAAAGACGTTCTGTTATCGTGACGGATCTGTTATATGCTGGAAAATGTAATCACGCTTCCTATATTGCCGGTGTCAAAATATCACATGTCATAGCAGTAGTCTTGTTGTTTCTCTTAATTTGAAGACAATAGGGGATAATACCGGTGTGGCCTTCATAGGTTCCTTTTTTTTTAATGCTCTAGTGAGCTCTAGTACGTCCTCTAAGCTGTACGTTTTTCTTTTACAATTAGTTAGTTAATTAGTTAGTTAGTTAGTTAGTTAGTTAGTTAGTTAGTTAGTTAGTTAGTTAGTTAGTTAGTTAGTTAGTTAGTTAGTTAGTTAGTTAGTTAGTTAGTTAGTTAGTTAGTTAGTTAGTTAGCTAGCTAGCTAGTTAGTTGGTTGGTTGGTTGGTTGGTTGGTTGGTTGGTTGGTTGGTTGGTTAGTTGGTTAGTTAGTTGGTTAGTTGGTTGGTTGGTTAGTTAGTTAGTTAGTTAGTTAGTTAGTTAGTTAGTTAGTTAGCTAGCTAGCTAGCTAGCTAGCTAGTTAGTTAGTTAGTTAGTTAGTTAGTTAGTTAGTTAGTTAGTTAGTTAGTTAGTTAGCTAGCTAGCTAGCTAGCTAGCTAGCTAGCTAGCTAGCTAGCTAGTTAGTTAGTTAGTTAGCTAGCTAGCTAGCTAGCTAGCTAGCTAGCTAGCTAGCTAGTTAGTTAGTTAGTTAGTTAGTTAGTTAGTTAGTTAGTTAGTTAGTTAGTTAGTTAGTTAGTTAGTTAGTTAGTTAGTTAGTTAGTTAGTTAGTTAGTTAGTTAGTTAGTTAGTTAGTTAGTTAGTTAGTTAGTTAGTTAGTTAGTTAGTTAGTTAGTTAGTTAGTTAGCTAGCTAGCTAGCTAGCTAGCTAGCTAGCTAGCTAGCTAGCTAGTTAGTTAGTTAGTTAGTTAGTTAGTTAGTTAGTTAGTTAGTTAGTTAGTTAGTTAGTTAGTTAGTTAGTTAGTTAGTTAGTTAGTTAGTTAGTTAGTTAGTTAGTTAGTTAGTTAGTTAGTTAGTTAGTTAGTTAGTTAGTTAGTTAGTTAGTTAGTTAGTTAGTTAGTTAGCTAGTTAGTTAGTTAGCTAGCTAGCTAGCTAGTTAGTTAGTTAGCTAGCTAGCTAGCTAGTTAGTTAGTTAGTTATAGTTCGTTCAACAATTCATATACACACTGGCAAGTCATTTTCTAGAAAACTGCCTATTATGTTATGACTTTTTCCTTTAGCCTTAGAATATCCATGACGTTGAAGAATTATTTTTTTTTAGCGAATTTTTTGTGGTTTTTGTTTTTATATATATATATATATATATATATATATATATATATATATATATATATATATATATATATATATATATTATATATATATATACGTACAGTAGTAAACTTTACTTTTAGCTCTTTAAAAAATTCAAACAGCAGCATGTGATAAAGAATTTAAAAAAAATTTTAGTCTTCATATTACACTACGACCACTAATATAAGGATACAACTATATGTTGCGTGCTCTGGAGTCGGCAAACCAGACTGCGCAAATAATGATTGTGAAATTTACTATAATTGACAGGTGCGCTTTATATTTTCTTTCTTATCCATTTAGCCAGGCTGATCCACAGCAACGCTTGGCCGGGTACTTATATTGTCAGGGCAACCACTAGCATCCATGGCTATAAGACCACAGAGACGGCGCTATACTGGACACATCATGTCAAGAAACAAGCAAAGAAACACCAAACAGGCACTAAAATGGGAAATAACGAGATTAAGTTGCAGAGGACGCTCAAAAGAAACTCTAAAGTGAACGTTGATGAGGAAAAAGGGAGCAAAGGTTCTGGACTGGATTACATCTATATTGAACTGACCGCACAGGGTAGAACATTATGTAAGTATAGAATGTGAGCCCTGTGCAACAAATAATGGCACATGGCATTCAATTGTTAGTGGACAGTTTAAGTTTCGACATCTCAGCACATCGGTCCGACGTATTAGTGGTCCGTCTCCCTCCCCCACATCTACCCCCAATGCATCAACTGTCTCAATGTCTCCATGATCAACGTAACCAGTAGAAGTTCTTTCTTTTCTCCGCAGCCGGTTTCTACATGCTTGCCTTCGTTTAACCGTTTCTAACAGACGGGTTACCCGGCTTGCTAGCGTAGTTGGTTAAACCGGACTGCGCGGTGACCGGGTGACGAACTCCTTGTGGTCCGGGTTCAAGCCCGGGGGTAGGCAGAAAAGCCACATTTCTCCCAGATTTACGGTACCTGTCATGGAATCGGCCGAAGGGTTGCGATATCCATAGTGCCGAGCCAAAGGGTTAACAACTCATGGTTTCTGGATACTTTAAAAAAAAAAAAACAGGCGGGTTATTGTCTCCGACTCCTACGTCTGAATAGTGATTAGTGATTAGAAAGAATTTTCATCACAGCACTCCGAACGGATCTAGGTGCTCCGATCATCTCCTCAAAAGCTCCGCAAGTGAAAAACGACTGATGACGCCTGTTCTGTGTTGGTTAATGAAACGTCTTGTCCTCTTAGTGAAATGTTCATTTCTTGCAGCTCCAGGCTGCACCCCCATGTCCATCAGTCTAGACAGGGATATGGAGTCATGTCCTTTGGCGTGCTCTTCGGTACGGTAAGTGCAGCGCATAGCATTGATAACATCACTTCTGTCCAGTACTGGGCCAGCCATAGTAACTGCAGTGTCAGCTAGATAGTCTGCATGCTCGTTCCCTTAAACACCCGCATGGCCTGGAGCAAAGATGAAGGTTGGGGCAGATATTCGTGAAGTGCTTAGTGTTTCAATCCATTTTTGCCTGATAAATCCAGCTTATATTGATTGAATAAATGAATGAATGCAACAGACCCGTGTACCGCAATTGATCATGTCAAATATGGGTTAACCTACCGCTAAACCCATACTTGCTGTTTCGGGAGTCTCGATAATCCTCTAACATTTAATCTCCAGACGTGTCTAGAATAATGGGGAATTTTGTGGAAATTACCAGTGTGTGGGGAAAAGTAGAACCGATACAGTAAACATGGGGATTCCGTCGCCTATAAACATGGAATATTTAATCTGACGCATCATGGCTATAAATAAACATTTGTATTTATCCGCAAATATTGACGTCAATGCTTTGTGTTTAAATATTTCATTTCGTTATTTAATTCGTCACATCAAAGAAAAAATGATTTAAAAGTAAGAGTAAATGGTTATTTACGTTTAGCAAAATTATATAAGATAATAAATATGGATGAATAGTCCACCGGATTATTTGTTTGTGTCCACGTCCGCATGAGTCACCAGTAGGGTGTGTTCCAGGCGGTTATTTTTAGCACAGCAGAATGGATAAAATGGAGACGTCGATCGATTTGTGTTTAGTTCATTCCAAGAAAGTACATTGATTGCAAAAGAAAGTTACAGTTTTCATCGTTATGGAGTTAATGTATTCTACAAGATATGAACATTGTACCAAAACCATACCTGAAAGGAATACATTTACAAGATTTATTCTAAGCCGGTCATCTAGCTATTCTTTTGTCAGGTGGAAGAGAGTCAAAGAGAGACGACCAACGGCCGCCATTTGATTGCGACTTTATACTTGTTGACAACAAACAACGAATATTTATTGTGTAATCGCTTCATTTTTAGAAACTTACTTTCAGTTATTGACGGATTTATTAATTGCAAGAGCTAGCGTTTTCTTTAAACATTAGTACACTTCTTTACAAGTATTGTTGTTTATAAGTGATTATATTAACATCGAATGGTCGAATGCAACTGTCAACTGTGTCCTTTTGTGTCATCATTGATTGTGATTGTTTAACCCGAAATGACAAGCTGGTGACTCAGGTGACAACAATCTTCTACGCCGAGACATTACTGCAGGAAACCCGTCAGTTTCTTACAGAATAAACCACCTTACCTGCTTCAGAATGGCTTGCCTGAAATCACTAACAAGCAACACTAACCAGCCTTATAGAAAAGTACATTCCTTCACAGAAGAGGTCTCCATTGCTCGGATGAGACAAATACACTGTAATTGTTTAAGTGGAAAATCCTACATTTCACCCTTCATTTCTTATCAAAGCAAATCGGACAAGGTTCCCTTACTGCCGTTTTTGAAACCAGCTAAAAGCAGCAGGGATCTGTTTGGCTGTGAAAGTTGCTATCAAGATATAAACACGGACAGTAGGTTACAGAACTTGAAGAATTCTGTAAACATAGCTTCAACAAATATGCCAGTAGCTGTAGACACCAATTTCATTCTTTCTGCTTTTGCTGCTTTAGCTGTTAATGAAATGCCTGTCTGCGTTCAGCAAAGTTCATTGGACAAAACTACAACTTTGCAGCATGTGAATCCTCCAGTCTTAGAAAATATTAGCAAGCAGGCTAGTGCTACAACAAATAATACTACATGTAACATTGTTTTTTCAAAAGAAACATTGCAGGACAGCAGTACAGAAACACATGTAGCATCATCCTCCGCTGGAGAAAATAACATCACATGTTGTTCGGATTTAAATGTTACTGTGGAAAGCATTCAGTCAGTAGAAATGCCTTCAAGTTATCAATGTTCTTCTGACTTGTCTGTTGACAAGAGTTGCTTTAACAAAAGTAGTTGCAGCAGTTCTAAAACACAGAATTGTCAGAAAATCATGCAATCTAAACCTACACTGTGTGACAGTAATGTGCAGTCTCCCTTAAAATCTATTGTAAATCTGATGTCAGTTTTGTCGGCACCAAGAAAGACTGTCAAGAAAGGACGCCCTTCTTCTAGAAAACAAAAGAAGCGTCAAAGAGAAAAGCAAAAACGTGGATTACAGCCCTTGCAGGCAGAAAAACCAGTTGCCTCCACTCACACTGGATGTGACACGCAGCAAAATCTTCATTCTCAAAACACAGAATTGATGTTTAAACATAGCAGTAAAATGGATGTTGCCTCAAATTCATCTTCTAATCCTCAGTGTAAAGCTGCCAATGGAGTTTTAAAACCAGAGTGCCCATTAACACATTTTTTTGTTAGACTCATGTCATGTTCAGAAGATGAGAACAGTGTTGAAGATGATGATGATGATGATGATGATGATGGTCAATGCAAAACTGATGTCTCTATAAACAAACACAAAGAAATGCCTTGTCCACCCATAACAGGTTTTGACTTTGGTTGTGCCTTAGATTTAGACACTATCTTTAAGAAAACCATTCCTCTAGGTCCTGTCAGTGCAGAAAAGAAAAAAGATGGATCCCAAAAGAACACATGCCAGAAATTGTCGGAGCGTGACCATTTTGAAAAAAGTAGCACTGTTTCTACTTCACCAGTTTCAAAGGATGTTGAGTCTTGTTTCTTCACCCCGGCTCTATCGTTAGACATTTTATTCTGCAAGAAGCCTGCTTCAGTCAGTCAGGCAGGAAGAGACCAGCATGAAACTACAGTTGACTTTCCTGATAATGTTCCTTCCGATGACAGTGTTGACCCTCTACCCGCTGGTAACGAGGCAGACTCTAAAACTCTTGAGAAAATTAATGCACTGTGGAATGAAAACTATCCAACGGCTGACTACCGAAGTTGTTCCTCTGTCTCAACAGATGAAATAAAATACCCAGCGATTAAGGTATGTTTAAATGGAAGCTCACAATACCTTCTTTTTTTTTTTTTTAAAGTTCATGGCATATGGCATTGGTAGTCATGTCTATCCACAGCCTTCTGTCTCGTGTACTTTCAGTCAGCTCTGACATAGATGATTCTCCATGCCATGTTTCAAGCCGTTCAGCATCTCGGCCTTCCTCTCCTCCAACTTTCCTACTGTCATGATGTATGTACTCCAGTTTTCTCTTTCTCATCACAGAACTAAAGAATGCAGACTGTCTCTTTCTGATGTGGGCAGTCAGTTCTCGGGTCAGTTTCTTTCAAGACATCTTCATTACTCTTGTTATCTGTTCAGGGTATTTTCATCGCAGTTTCCAGGGTTAGATATTTTAGTTTGTGTTTTAGGTACGTTTTTATGGTCTATCTAGCCAGCTTGATGTTACCCTGTGTTTCCCAGATGGTACAGGGAAAATAGACAGACATTCATCGGAGTTTCAGAAGCATTGAGAAGAATGGTCTGTGCCAAATGGTTAAGAACGTTGGGCTGAAAGTGGGGAACCCAGATTCAGATCCTTGGTAGGATTAGGGATTTTTTCTGTCAGGGACAACATTAAAATTCTAACCTGCCCAGTCCGTTGCAACAGCACTAGCTATGCGGCCCTAAATCCTCAGGCTCAGAGACCTCCTCCCTCGCCTACACCTCAAAAGTGGTAAATATGGACTGTAATGGAGGTTTTGTTAAAAGCATTTTGAAAAGTAAATATTGTATTTTTTGCAGTAACCTGAACAGAAAAGGGTAGTAACAACCGAGATGGGGGGGGGGGGGGGGGGGAATTGGGGGAATTGCTGCAGCAGTGAACCTCAGCAATAAATGACTGCACAGGGGCGTCATACATCATAAATACGGGTCTGGGAATGCAGCATTAAAGTATACAGAATTATTTTTTTGAAAAAAAAAGATTAATTGAGAATCCTAGGGCGTTGCGAACGAACCTCAGCATTATTTTTTAGACTGTTTTTTTTTTGTCTCAGTATTTTACTGTTGCTTTCTGAACTGTTGTCCGCTCTGTGGCTAAGTCGATGCGAACGCTTCGTAATGCCGGGGTGCGGGGTTCGATCCCAGCTGCGGGCCATGCGCCTTGCGTTGGGTTCGACAGTGGTATCAAGAAAGCCGACCATCCAGAAAGCAATGGCAAACTACTGAACGTAAATTGCCTAGAAAAACCACACTATAGCCAGGGGCTGTTGGGATTTGCTCAGCAACGTCCTGACAAGGATACGCAACTAACCTTCTGAACTGTTAGCGCAAATCACCTGCAGCTCAATTGAACCACATCATCCTATATACATGTACGGTTAAAATGAGTAGTATTAATTTGGTTCAAGCAAAGAAACTGAAGCATCTAAACAAATGGATTAAATCAGATGAAATATGTAGAAGAGTTGTACAGTAAAGTTAACAATCTTATATAAACCACACAATCGTTACACCTAACAAGCTTTAGAATTTTTTATTTTTTTTTTAGCTTTGAATGATTGTGTATCTTATTATATAATTACAATATGTAATAATAAAAACTGTCATTTTTATGTTTTTCACTTTACATTGTTGCTATTTAAGATTCTGCAACTGTCAATGTAATTGAGTTATTACTATATGCTGGAGTTTTGTAACATACGCTGTAAATAGTTACTATTTGTTGGTTTAGTAACTTTCACTAATTTTATTCTTCACAGGTTCATTTTGCAGCAGAGCCTGATTTCTTGACAGTTCATATTGTTGGCACCGAAGATCGTAATGGTAACTGGCATCACATAATCAGAGAACGAGAACATTTTGAAAGGCGTATACAAGAGTTGGAACAAATTCTCTCCCCCTTCCTGGAGACCAGTCACAGAGCCAAAGTCCTCAAGCAAAGGAAGGGCCAAGAACAGCAGTGAAGCTTGCAGATAGCCTGTTTAACTCTTCTTATGATACTTGATCCTTTCGCCACAAGAAGCCACAAAACTGACACTTCCGGCTAATACTGTTTCCCCTCGAAAGCCATTTTTCTAACTGTGCACATTTTCAGGGTGACTGGGGATGACCAGATAAGCTAAAAATAGCATTTGATCTGTGTTTCTGGTAAACAGTGGGCCTTATTTATAAAAATTTTGACCTCATATTTTTCCCTTTGGCTACAGTGGTCATTGGGTCACAGGTCAAGTAAATGTCACCTATAATTAGTTTACAGGCTCCAAAAGATGTAATTCAATAATGACAGAAGTGTGTACTCATAAAAAAATAGAAATTGATAAATAAGATCTGGTTTCATAATTTAAACCAGTGCCGATAATTATAAATATATAGCTATTGTTTTGTTGAAATAAAGATGAAACAGATCTTGTTTATCAATTTCTGTTTTAATATGATTTTAGTTTTGCTAAAGAAGAGATTTTGAACAACGGATCAACATCATAACACACAGGTGTAATCCATAAGTGCTCCGTTCTTCTTCTAACTCAAGTCTAAGTCCGAAAAAGCTCAGTACAGTGCACATGCTCTGTAGCACCTGCGAGGATCCTCAAATACTTTGGGTAGATTTTTTACGCCAAATTTTGCCCGGGCAGCGCTTTTATGCTACTGTTTTCGATCTCCAACTACCAATGGATTTTTTACGTGCGCAACAATGCACACGGGCATCCGATCTCATACCCAGAGACCCTGGGGAATTACTAGAAGTCCAAGAAGTCCACTTGCCAAAATCCCAGCCCTTACTGGGGATTGAACCCAGAACCTCTACCACTCGAAGACACCATGCCTCAAGACCACGTAGCTCCCCTATACTTTTGCTAAAGAAGAGAGATGCTGTAGTGTCATGCTAGAAGACCTCCCTGTCTCAGCCCACTGGCCATACATAATTCCCAGTGAGGATTGCTTTATGAAGCTATTTCACTAACCTTTAAGCCCCAGAGCCACACAGAGTAGTGATTTTGATATTAGAATTATAAATGGAGATGATTCAGCTGTGAATTATTTATTGTTTTTTTTTTCTATACTATACACATATTGTTTTATATTATTGTTCTAATTATTAGCATTTGTAGTTTAATTTGCTCAGATGGCTGTTATGAAGCTGTACATGAGGATGGTAGTCTTTAAGGACACCATCTGTGATGACTCAAGAGATGGGTAGATGATATTGGCTCCCCCGCTACTATGATATAAGAATATGTGCAAATGAGTCATGAATGGGACCGGTGTTGAGATGGATTCATGGGAACCAGATGTCATGGATCAGATTGCGTGGAAAAGGAAACAATCAGGAAGGAAATAAGGAAACATTTATTTAAGATAAATTGAGAGCTGACCATTTGAGAAGAATATGCCAGCATACAATGGCAATAGTGGTCCTGAAATCCTGTGCAGTTGTTGTGGAAGACATTCTTTTATCGAGCTAGTCTTGCTTGTCACAATGACTGTTGCCATGGGCTGTGATTCTTATGCCTGTCTATATCACACTAGTTTCTATAAAGTTGTCAAAAGAAACATTATGCAAATATCGTAGCCAGATTTCATTAGTGGTTTGATCCAAACCTGTAGGAAACCATAGATTAAGGTAGAAATGTATAAAAGAAAGTTTTTATTTAATCATTTATAATTATAATGTGTTATAGTGTAGGTGCCAGTACTCTTTGTTTCAAACAGGATTATGTTTATAAAAATTTTCTCTATACATTCTGCATTTATTATATTTTCTTCAGAGACCAAAAGTCATTCAGCTTTAAGTTAAATTTTTATGACTTTATACATAGATTCATACAATATTTATTAAACACTTGGATAACAGAATTTGTCTGATTCAGAACGGTGCCATGTTTTTCAAGAAGAAAGATTTTCCATGCCTTTGATGTGTAACATTTTAATAACCTCCCACCACTGTTTAATAAAAAATGTTAAAAAGACAATAAAATGTGGAACTATTAAATTGTGTTGTTTTATTGTGGAAAACCTTCATGATTGGATCTGATGACAGGGAGGCTTGCCAGTGATGTTAGCCATATTTTTTTTTTGGTTACTGCTTCCGTTCTTGAAAGGGCAGTTGGCACACTGTAATCTGGTTTACAGCTAGACTGCAAACTCTCTGCCTTTCGGCTCAAAACATCCAGTTTCAGCTAACCCCTACTTAGTCACCTTTAACGACATGTTGGTTAGAGTCTGGGGCATTGGGTCTTGTCTCTTTTTTCTTCCCAAAATAGGGCCTCGGAACCATTATGAGTATGATCTGAGTGGCACGGTCAAGCAATTTATTACTAGAACTAAAATCTGCACATACAAGGGTAAGGAATGTCCACCCCAAAAATGAAGAAATTTAGAACTTAAGATAAAATGCTGAGGATGATCACATAATATACTTAGGGCATAATGTTTTAATCATACCATATCAAGATTATCTAAATATTCACAGAACAACTGCTACCTTAATCATCACACACAAGGGTGTAAACAAAGCAATATTTGAAACAAATTGCGTAATTGTCTTAAATAAATAATTACAGGATATATAAACTATAGATACACCCATAATTCGATGCACACTTCATATCCCAGTTATAACCCTGAGGACAGTTTTGTGAAACTACTAAATGCGGATAATCAAAGTTTAGTTATGAGGATTAGACATGATTTCATCAAAACAGTAGACAATCTACTTATGGAGGCTGGTACAGGCTCAATCCCTGGAAGTGTTGGGCTTTCATTTTTCTAATCAGTACCGCTCAGGGTCAGACCAGCTTCTTGAAGATGGGTCCCAGATAACTTCCAGAATTTTCTGGAAACTACTGCAGAAGGAACAGGGACAAAGAATTGAACTGCTTCAAGGCCTAGGATCCAGATACAATCTCAAACACTAAAATACTTCAAGTCACAAACCAAGAAACTCAGACAGTATGATAACCAAGAGAAGAGGGAAATAGATTGGCAACATTATGAGAATGAATCCTGATATATCTGCCAAAACAGCTCTCACATGGACACCAGAGTGAAAGAAGGGGCGCCCAAAAACAACATTGAGCCGAACGATAGAGAGTGACCTTCACAATATTACTTTCTTTAACTTCTTCATGTGCTCTGTATCCCCCTTTGGAGCATAGGCCCTCGACCATCTAACACCAGGTGCTCCTATGTTTTAATATCGCATGCAACTCACTCCATGTCTTCCCGAATCTTTTTAACTTTCCTCTGTAATTCCGTTCTTCGTGTGGGTGTGTGTGTGTTTTTTTTTTTTTGTGTGTCTGACTTTATTTCAATGAACTCATGGGTTCAAGTTTACAGCCTTGCTTGTTATACCGTTCTCGGGTTTTCCCATTTGTGTGTCCTGGCCAATACCATCGTCGTTTCCTCACCTCCATTCACTGGAATTTATTTTGTGCAATAATTGCAGACTTGAAATATCAACAACAAAACTGTTGGCGATTTAACTCTCTTAGTCGCAAGCATCGCCTCGCATGTGAGTGACTCCCCCTTGACTTCTTCTACAGAGTAATGTGTTCATGTAAATTTTAGACAAAACATAGTCAAAAAAACCTGTCCCATACCCTTATGTTGATTGCCACAGTGTAAATTGCCACTTTAATGCAATGCATTTATAATACAATCGTTATAAATGTCGTCCACCCTGTGGGATGCAATTTTTTTATAATTCGAAGCCCCACCCTAGGAGATAAATATAACCTGACGGCTAAACATGGTTTCCGGGAGCTCTCCACTGGTTTCTCATCCGTATGGTGGCACTTTGTGTCACCGGGTGTTTATCGCATGTGTGATGTCCTTGTGGGGTACAACTTACTTACTTGCTTACTAATGTATTTGCGCCAATTTATATATATATATATATATATATATATATATATATATATATATGTGTGTGTGTGTGTGTGTGTGTGTGTGTGTGTGTATGAAACGGGCACTGAAATATCGAATCATTGCAGTGAAAATGTCCTCTGTAGACTAAATAAGTGTATACCACAGTGTATGTTACAAACCGGATGTCAAGATGTAAACTGGATTTCTAGGGAATGGACAACAGTATAATTTTCCACTTCCCCTGCGTTAGTCACTGCGCAAACTGAGGCGAAGAAACAACAGCAAAATGTGTGAATTCAATTGGTCACTGATAAGAGTAACACATGAGTAAAGCTAATAGATTAAACTAATAACAATAATAATAACCACCGCAAGTTGTTCAGCATAGAAAGTTCTCCAGAACTAGAACATTCGTTGAAGTCAAAGGAAATTAAAACAAATATCAAACTTTTTTTGGCTTTAATGTCAAATCGGTCCTAATGCATGGAGATGAAACAGGGAAGACAAATAAAACAAGTACCAATGGTTGGAATTCGAGTCGCGTGACTTGGACTGGAGTATGACATTAAGTCGTGGAATTAACGACTTGAGTCTTGGAGTTTTGTCCAGCAACTAGAGATGCAGCTTGTGACTTTGACAGTATATTATGACTCGTTCTTCGCAGCCTGTCACGTGCAATACTGTTATATATATATATATATGTGTGTGTGTGTGTGTGTGTGTGTGTGTGTGTTGTTCGTCCATCCCGAGTGATGAAGATCACTTTCATCCAAAGTAGTAATGATAAATGATTATGAGTACGAAGGTGGCTGATTAGTACAATATGAGCCTGAAAAGTTATTGCTCAGTGCGGAAAACAGATGGAAGCCACAGTAAGTGTGGGATTAGCAGTACGGTTCTTTCTCGTCTGCCTCTGTTTCTCTGCCTGTGCAACCTCCGCTGCCTGGCAGGCCGATGCACCATGCCTGGGGGACGTACGCCACCCAGAACGGTCTTGCGTAGCAGCCTCCCACGTTGCTGTGCCAAAAGAATTAAGAGCATCTTCTGTCCTCCCTGGGACCTCTTCCCTTACTGGAGCTCGTCAGAAAATACTCTC